TTTTTTTTTTTTTTTTTTTTTTTTTTTTGTCTCTTGAAAAGCTATGTAGCATATTGTCTCTCTTCCTGTCCATTATTTCCTACTTAATTTTCAGTTCCAGTTTTGGCCTCAAACAATAACACTGTTATCAAAGAGCAGTGCCTTGGACTCATGGAGGCTTTCAGAAAATATTGGTGCCATCTTCCATAAAACATTTTAAACACATGCTATTTGTTTTTAGTCTCCCTTCTGGTTTTACACCCTACAAAGAGGACATTTAATATGTACAATAGAATTAATAGGCATGCAATGTAAGCAGGACTTACATTCAAAATACACTTCCACAAAACAAAGGAGCAGCTGTGAAAATGTAGAGTCCGCTGAAAATTTTTTACTTGGGTATCACATTTGCTAAAAGATTTACTCTGCAAAGTTTTATCTAATTTCCCATTCATTCAATTAAGCAGAGAGATAAATGCCCAGATCCCAAGAGATTAGGGGAAACTATGTTTAGCTCCCTCTTACACTTGCGATCAAAACTGTGCTCAGTTTCATGGTTATCACTATAAAGTTCATGTTTACAGGCTCTGTGCTGCTGGTAGAGGAACACCTCCATCTTCCACAAAACCCAGTGGGATTTGGAAGTAGTCAGGATCCCTCAGATCTCTCCAGATCAGGAGGATACAAACCACGTAGGAAATGATGCCCCATTTGGCAAGGCTATAGCACTCTAGTTGGGATAGGCCTTCGAGCAACCTGGTCTAGTGGAAGGTGTCCCTGTCCACGGCAGGGGGGTTGAAACTAGATGATCTTTGAGGTCCCTTCCAACCCAACCCATTCTATGGTTCTGTGATTCTACGAATGGTCTTTCAGCTCTGTTGGGAGGAATAGCCAGAACTCGTTGGTTAGCAGAGCCATCAGTTCAGAGTCAGAACCAAGCACCCACCAAAATCTCTTGGAAATGAATCACATGGTAAAGATAAGGCAGAAGAAAGAGATAAAATGAGAATTAATCTCTTTTGCACTGGTATTTGTGTCACACAACCTTTATCAACTTGCCTAAGCAAAGTTAGAAAGATTTTTGAACAAAAGCAGAGATACTTGCCAGTGGTTTTTTGAACATCAGTCCAGAATTATTTCTCTCCTAGCAATTGGAACATGTTCTAGTCATCAGAATAATTATTTTCTGGAGCTATCTATCCATTTAAAGATAAACTATGGATCTTGTGAAAGCTTGAAGTCCGTGGTACATACAACAGACCCCCTTAGAATCTCTGCTACTCCTTCCCCGGAAGGGTGACAAGCGGGTAAAAAGAGAGAGTGAAGACAGAGTGAGCACAGCCAGAGACACTAATCCTAAAGACACAGGGCTGTGAAGGTGGTTCCTGGACACTCTTATGCACCAGGAGAAGGCATGGATGAGATGTTCCTACGTCCCACCACACGGCCTGTGGTTGGGAGCAGCTGGCAGCAGTTAGTCTGAGCAGCCAGCGAGTTCCCTGGATGCAGCGGGAGCAATGGCTGACCACCATCACACTGAGCCACCCAGACTGCAGCTGCGGGTCGTGATGGACCTTTGCTAGTGCCAGCATCACTCTGGAAGATACAGAAATGCAGACACGTTTCAATTCTACCTTATAATGAACTGCCTTTGAAAGAACTGCCGTAGGAACCAAAAAAACTCCATTTAGCATTTTTCTTCATACATTCTAATTCCTCCAAGGTTTCTTGAGTCACCCCGGGTCCTCATGCATGGCACAAACATATAACAAAGAACTGCCTGTGCCTTGCTGACTTTTTAATCTAAATATAATATTGATTCTGGGTTACCAGAGTTTTTCCTGCAATTTACACCTCGTATGCTTGTATGGGTAATGGGAATGGACAATTCCAGCACCCAACAGATCAAAGGGAATTCGAATTTGCTGCAGTCCTGGTAGGCAGGATGTTTTCAGGTCCTAACGAACAGCAGAACTGTAGAATAGCATCTCCTGTATATCACAGAATCCTCTAGGTTGGAAAGGACCCTGGAGATCATCTAGTCCAACCGTTCGCCTAGCACAGTTCCCACCTACAGCATATCCTTAAAATCCAAATCGACCCTACTCTCTGTATATTCAAGGCAAAGCATTTGACAGTAGGTTTGATGAGACCACTATCTCTCACATTGATCTGCGTTTTCTCAGTAAGTTCTTCTGTTCATCCATTTGGTGGCTCTAAGCTTCTACTCGGACTGAAAATTTTCTGAGGATGGAAAACTCTTGGGTTATTTTTTTGCCTTTAAAAACACAATAATCCACAAACAAGCTGTAGTAATTCTGTGATATTTCTCCTACTGTTGCTACAACTGTAAATGGAATTGACCCTTTCTTGATATCTTGATAAAGAATTAATTTCCCAAACCATCCTTAGAAATGGAGAAATTTGCAGATTTGGGCTTCATATAACAAACATGGGTATCTGACAGCACTAATATAAAATGTTCATTCACATACCATAGCAGGAAAACTTCTGGACACTAAATAGAGTTTCTTGGATTTTGATGTCTGTCTGTAAAAAAAAATTGAAGAAAACAAGGCAAATGATAGAAAAGGCCTAAGATATTATTCTAAATTTCATCACAAATTTCTGATTAAACATATGTGCATACATTGTCTGGTTTTAATAAGCTTGAAAACATCATCAGCAATTAACAGGCAAACCAGAATAATGTTGCATAGCCAAGCAAGGGTAATTGTGCTCATTATATTGCCAGAGATGTGGCTGATCAAAAAGCAAAGCACTGTTTTCCCTGAAGTTGATTTACGGTATTTAGGTGGAATCAGCACCGAGTTCATAGCCATTAATCAGACAAACTGCTTCACACAGAAACTCCTCACCAACCTGCCAATGCCTCGCACACTGTCAACACACACAATGGGTTTCCCACTGGATGTGCGTATCTCTTTTTCCAAGGCTGTCAGTGCTATTTTTCCATTTCACCTGAAATATCCGTATTTATCCCTCAAGAAGTAACACCAGCCTCTTCTCATTCTGCATTGTGGAGAGAAAGCGTTGAGGGAAAGCAGGGTGCATGGAAACCTCTGTGAACTGCTCTTCAGAGGCAAACTTATCCCAGTGAATTTAGATGGAAAGGAGAATATGGTGGAACCTCGTTACTACAAAAAGTGAGAAAGCTAATTATTTTTCTACAGTGACATAATTATAGTCATCCAAGAACGTGAAAGAGGCAATGTCTGCAGGCAGAGGGGGGAAGATCAGCTGACATAACTGGGAAAAGGACAAACTACAGGACACAAAAACCATTTTCACGACAACAACAACAAAAAAAATCATAGATTTCTAATCCCAAGCTGGAATTTTGAGATTTGA